GTTTCCCTAGGTATACACAGTAAAGCCTAAGTAAAATTTTGAACTGCTGCAATATTAAAAATATTTTATGCTAATTTGCATTGTCATTTCTGATTTTGCAGTTTTCTAAATTTGGCAGAATTCCTTCCACACTGGACTAAATCTAAGCAGGATTAATAGTTTAATAGCTTGACAGCAATACGTTTATGAAAGGTGGCCCTGGGCACACACACTCAAAAGAACCAATGACTGATTAGACCAGACATTCAAATTAACAGCAAAGTCTGCTGGTTGTTTAAGCTTTGGCTATTTAAGTTAACAATAAAACCAGTGAGAAAACAGTGAGACAGAATCTGTGTCAGATAATCAGAATGACAAATGAAATACTAATTACCAAGGCTCTTTGGAAAACTGGATTCTGATTGGTCAATCACAGCATTCTGTGCCGCTGAATTAGGCAACTGAATTCCAACATAGCTAGCTGTTCTAGTTTCATAGATCACTCTCTTTCTTGTCATCTCAAATCAATATTTCATATAACACATTTCATGTGTTAATTATTAGATTCAATTATGTACTCAATCAACTTTGCACAAGCGGATGACCATATGCAAAAGCTACCACTATTTTTGACCCCGGAAAAACCCTGGTTTAAAAGCATCAGTTCAACTCACCAATGGCGTCAGCTGGTTAGGATGATCAAAGTCTTTTACTCCAAACTGGGGAGTCCAATCAAAAAAAAAAAAAAAGAAAGAAAGAAAGATCTCTTGGCATTCATGTTAATTTGTCAGACCTGTCTGACCTGACTTAACTAAAAAATTTAAACCTACAACTAAATGCAAACTCTTTTATGTTCATTAACACAGTGATAAACTGTACATTCATTCAACAAGTTATGTATGAGAGAGTGAAGATGCCATGTACCTTAATTCCAGGAATATTAGATTCACACTTTATAGGCTCATACTTGTGGTATATGTAGAATCCATAGCTTCCTTCCCGGTGCACAGCGGCGCTCTCAAAATAGACATTTGCTGATTCAGGCTTTTTGAAGAAAAGAGAATAATGCATATTAAACTGCTGTAAATTCAAAAATAGCACTTTTTGGTAAAAAATACACTCACATCAAGTCCAAACACTTCGTCGTAGCAAGGAGAACTCTGCAAATACCATGCTATAGTGAGGTTTACAGGAACAGCACACCCTTCAATGTTCACTGAAATATATACAGCATAAGAATACAAATAATAATCAGAGCAGTCAAAGCATGTCATTCGCTAATGCACTGGATTCAATTATTATTGAACAACGGCTCTGTGTAGTTAATGCTGCTCAATGTGAAAGCACGCAGGTGATGGAGATTTACCGCTGATTACAGAACCGGCTTTCTGACAAGATGCTTATTAAATATGGCATGCTATTTGTCGTGCAGCCCTATAAAAAATGATAAATTAAAGAGCATATATACAGTAAATAAAATCTATATTTTATTTTAATGTACTTTTTTAAATTTAACCTACTTTTGGCATGTGCATTGTTAGATTTTTGTGTTGTTTTATCGATTACAATTCTTTTCAGCGCTAATAAAAAATGTGCTCGTCAGTGTCAGAGAAAACTGAGAGAGAGAAAAATACAAGAAAACAGATAAAGTAAAGAGCATACTCACAATTAATTTCAATTAAAGTATTATTGAACATCGTCTTCGGAAAATAGTAGAACTTTGGGCTCCCACCTACCTAAAATACACAAAAAGGAGGATTCTTACAATTTGTTGATCTCAGTAGTTACCCTAAAAATGAAATACTTCATGCTCATATATTACGCAAGAAATGTATTTGTAACTAATAAAAACATTAGTATTAGTGATGGGAAGTCCGGTTCTTTTCCGCGAACCGGTTCTTTCGGACAGTTCGTTTCAATGAACCGGTTCAAAAAAACGGTTCATCGGTTCTTTTACGCCCTAACGTAATGACGTCATTCGCGATTACGTCATGATATCAAGTCTATCGTCCCGGGCCGGGATGAAAATACACATTCAAATATATAAAGTCAGTAATCATAACTTCAGTCAGTTAAAACATAATCATGATCTGAAAAGTTTACAATTAAGTTTTGCAACTAAGCACCCAAATACAGTAACAGGCAGTGATGTGCATAAGTAAAAAAAGTGAATAACTTAAGTAATTGGTGGATTAATGCTTACTGGAGACGCGAACCGTTTCAAACGATTCAGTCCGATTTGGTGAACTGGTTCAACCGGTTCACTAAGAAGAACCGGTTAAATCGAACGATTCGTTCACGAACCGGACATCACTAATTAGTATGCAATCAGCTATATTAGGGCAAGACCAGACTAGAAATCCTGTAGAGCCATTGCTTATAGTTTAGCCTCATCCCTTATTACACGTTCACTGTAGGCAGATAACATCATATTATCGATCCCCGATATATATTCTACACATTCTTCCAATTCTATACATTCATTAATAGTGGCTGTTAACCGGTGTTGTGTGTGTAAAGACAATGGACTGTCATGAGACTAGAAGATACAACACGAGCGTCAAGGTTTCGCTGCAGGTGGTGATGCACTTACATTATCCACATCCAGGACCCATTTTCCCGGCTCTGATATAGCAGTCAGCGGTGGTATTAATACAAATTGAAGAATCACAACAAGCAGTACTCCTCTGAATCTTGCCGACACCAATGACTCGGTCGTGACAGTCGCCATTGTTAAGGAAGCAGTTGACGTTACAACTTTGCGAGCTACACTTCCCTGTGCAAATCTACATCCTGTTCGACGTCACTTTGTGGGCGGAGACGCAAAATATTGAAGATTATAGGCTACAGATAAGCATAATCCTAAAACAGAAAGAAAGAAAAAAAAAAACTACAAAAGTAATATAAAAGTAATAACATCCAGAACAGGGGTACAATCAGGTATAAAATATTAAATGATATATATATATTTTTTTTATTTTATTTTTTTTTATTATATATATAATTCATTTAAGTAAATAGATTAAATAAAAGCACTTTAAAATATTCGTTGAAGCCAAAAAGCTAATCTTCCCATAAAAGTGAGAAGGGTCTTGAACAGTGAATAGATTCATTGTTAAATTTCTGTCTTACACCACAATATAACTGAACGAGTACAATGCCCAAATAAATGCATGGTCTCAACATAATTATTAAAGAAAGTTCAGTACATATTCATAATTTTTTTATTTCTGTAAATAATCATTTACTGAATAAAATCTGTGGATGTATTTGGTCATTGTAAACGTGCATATTTGATGATTACAGTCAGATTAAAAGTAAATTCTCTAATTCCATACTGTATTTTATTGGCATTAAAAATAAATAAATAAATAAATGCTAGATTTGTGTGCTTTTTTAATTAATTAATTTGTTTATTTATTATTTAATATAACAATAACATATTAAACCACCATTAGCCTTTTTGGTATTTGTATTGTTTGATTTTTATGTTGGTATTCCAAACTGCAAATGCAATTCTTTTCAGTTTTAATAGAAAATTACAGTCAGTCAAACTAATGTTACAACAGTTAAAATGTATATTACTCATAAATCAAAAAGTGCTATTCTAAAGACCAGCAAAAAGAAAATGATCTAGGCAAAGCATTGCAGTTTTTTCTTTCATTTAAATTATTTGTCACAAGTTACAAATACTTAAGAATATCGAGGATGTAATACAACATTTTCGCTTAATACACACCTATATAAAATAGGCACGACAACTTAGCCTAGCCTACAAATTGACGTCATGACGCAAAACCTCTGCAGTGTTGTTCGTGAAACGTGGATGGGACCTAGAGTTTGACAAATCATTGAACTGGGTGTGGAGAGCTGCTCTATCCATAAAGAACAGATAAAGATCGCCTTTGGGAAACTGCTTCTACTTTTATCTGTTTACCTGAGCAGCGGGTCTTTTCTTCCTCTGTACCTTTCCGCTGGACCTATTCAGCGTCTTTGTTCCGGTAAGTTCTCATTTAAACGTAGTTTATTTTGAAAACATTGCCCATTCTTGATGTGCGTCAGGATTAAACCACAACGGCCTGCTAAACTGTAACTTTAAATTTGATTTTACAGTAGTTAAACCAAGACAGCAGCATAAACGTCATGTTTTCGTATTAACTCAAATAACTTAGGCCTGTAACGTAGCGTGCTGACAGTCATAAAGGGGCAAGAAGTATGACTGGATCTTCCTCTTTTTCACATTCCTGCCATTGTGAAGTAGACTGTTCCGATGGGTTTTGTTTGTGTTGAGTCATAGAGGGGTGTGGAAGCCTGCTTTACTAAAGTATTGTATTCATTAGATGCGGGAGTGCTCTTTAAAGTTAAAGAGAGTACTCTTTCCTTTTTACGCTAGTGGAAAATTACTGTCAAAACACGATTAGTATTAGAGATATCATGTAAGTGATTTTTCCTGTCACATAATAGTTTGCACCATTATATAAAACTGGTTCTCGAGCTTTTTGACACAAAGACCCAAACTGTACCATTATGACAACACTGTTTGTTTTCAAATTTTATTAGTTGATATATTCAATTAAATAATTAAGTTTGTGATTCTATAATATTCCACATTTAGATATTGGGAAATACATATTTCTTCATATCTTGATATTTGTGTGTGTGTGTGTGTGTGTATTCAGCATTTTAATTGTTTTAATTCATTTATTAAATTAATTAAAATTATTAAAAAACATTCAGTGTTTCTGGTAGGTAGAATGAAACTTTGTATTGCTTGCACTTCTCATGTTATTGCTTCCTTATGATAAATCGCTTGTATTCGTCAATTGTAAACATCTGCTAAATTAATAAATGTAATTTAAGTCATCCCATCCCCTTGCCCCCTGGTTTGAAAACTACTGTTATAAAATAAATACTTTATATGCATGTCCATGTTCTGTCTCAGTGATTTAGACATTGCTAGTAGTCTCTATAAATTATTTTAAAAATTAGATTGCTTTTAACCTGTAAGAGCAGCCGTTTTGACTTTTTTCATCCATTTCCTCTTATCATAGGACATGGAGGTGAGCCCTAATGAACTGATGGGCGTCCTTAACAAGATTATTTCCAAACGTGAGTTTCTTCAACATATATTGATGACACAAATGAGTCATTATGTAAAAGATTCTAATAAGATGATCCCTGGTTTTCACCTCTAGATGGCGATCTTAAGACAGATGGTTTCACTATTGAGTCCTGCAGAAGCATGGTAGCAGTAATGGACGTATCCTTCAGTATAATCATGTTAACAGAAAGAGGCTGAATATTACATTTTATGAATACTGTATGTCGGTTTTGCCTTAACTATCTGCTGTCAGAGTGACAGTACTGGAAAACTGGGATTTGAAGAGTTTAAGTATCTTTGGAATAACATCAAGAGGTGGCAGGTACAAACATAGTTAATTTTATACTTTTGTACTGGGGGACTATTTTGTCTCAACTAACTATGAATATCAGGATTTTAATAAAGAGTTTGCAACCTGTTTTTGTTTAATCCAGGGCATTTACAAGAATTTTGATGCCGATCGCTCTGGTGTGATTGGTTCCGATGAGCTACCTGGAGCTTTTAAAGCAGCAGGTGAGTAGTGTTGTCAGTACTAAAATGGTTGCAGTTTGCATTGCTACTTTCAAAAGCATGCTAAAGTCTCGTGTGTGTGTTTTTTTTCAGTATTGTGGAAAAATACTAGTATATTTACCAGTCATTATTCTCAGTCAGCAAGTCAGATTGGAATAGAATATAGTTTATTGGGTCTAATTCGTAATTTCTCATCCCTCCTTTAGGGTTCCCACTCAATGAACAGCTTTTCCAGTTGATCGTCAGGCGATATAGTGATGAAAAGGGCAACATGGACTTTGACAATTACATCGGGTGTCTTGTGCGCCTGGATGCTATGTGTCGTATGTTGACAGATTGTTTTGTCATCTTAATTCTTTTATCACAGACTCATTGTATTTTTAGTTTCAGCATGAATTGCCTCGCTAATGTTTTTTTTTTACAGGTGCCTTCAAGACACTTGATAAAGACAACAATGGCTCCATTAAAGTCGACATTCAAGAGGTACTGTATGTGAACTGTAATTTAAGACCACAAAGAAACAATATGTCCTAAATTAGCTCCTATATAACTCTCTTTTGCTTTTTTGTTTACAGTGGTTGCAGCTGACAATGTACTCCTGAATATAAAAGAATATACTTTGCCATCTTGATTATATTCTTTTGTCAGTTCCTCTTTGTGGCCTGTCATTGTCAAATGTCTTTGTTTTAATAACTGACATAATTATTTGTTTCATTGTTAGATATGACAGCATGATCATACTGTGCCTTTACACTAGGTGGCAGCTTTGTTGCAACGCTTGTTTGCATCCTTAGAGGTTCAGTTTATGCCATATTTCCATATTTTATTTTATTCCATGCCATTGCGCCCTTTTCATTTATGCCATGGTTTTATCAGAATAGAATAGTTTTAGAATAGATAATAGCTATTAAGGACATTCCAGAGCCATATTATTTAATCACTGAGAATATCAGTCAGCTGTCCGTTTTGCAGAGTTATTATGCTGATGCTCAAATAAACGTTATTTGTTTTGGACATACAAAGCCGATCTCCACTCATTACGTGTGCAAACACTGGTTGCTCTGAGCATCACCAGTTACACGCATCAGGAGCTGAAGTAGAAAATGACTGACAGTCACAACAGCCAATTAAAATCCCCAGCGCAAGATAATGAATACAAAAATAACCAATCGGCTTCACAAAGGGGCGCGGCCTCCGAGTTACCTGTGATGAAGACAACTGCCTGCCTGTCTGCCTGCTCGCGCTGAGTAGATGATGCTGAAATCAGATCGATGAGCAAACAGGTGTTGAGCGCGAGGGTGAACAAAAACGGCTTTGTCTTTGCGCCATCCTCAGGGAAAATAACGCTTAAGCGTGTACCTACTGTCATACAGTAAGTAGTTTATAATTTTTTTTTGAGTATCTCGTTGAAAAATAAACTTTAGGTCATTTTTGTAACCTAACTTACTGAAAAGTATATCAGAGAATATGGCGTCTGTTAATACTGGGCTTTAATGTTGCGTTTGGATGCTATTTGTTTTCAGGTTATTTTTTCATCACTCCTGTAGTTTATTCTGATATGATTACTTGGTTGCAGATAGATGCGAAGGCAAATAATAACATACTCATCAGAGTTTTCAAAAAAAACGTGATGTATACAGCTATATAATTTAAAATGAAATGTATTATATAAATGCATAATGTAAATGACATTATAGTAGGCTATAAGAAGGTGTAAATTAAATGTTTTGTTACGTGAGATTATTATTATTATTCAGTGTTATTACAGCTCATGAGGTCAAAAGTTGCTTTTAAAAGGTTGGTCTTGTTGCTGGACTTACAAGCAAATTTTGAATGAAAAAAGTAGGCTATTTTCTGCTTTGATTTGGTCTGTCCTTTGTGTTTGGACAGCAGTCTCTCATCAATGAACAAATGAAATCCTCTCATTAAGTCCACGTCCATCTGTGGTTTAAAACCCACAGGGCAAACCAGTCCAATAAATTATACAGCAAGGCGCTGTGCCCCAGGGAATGCAATAAAATGAATAAATCTTGCCCTTTTCGAGGGACTCATTTGATGTTTTCAGGTATTAAATGTTGATGATCAGTCAAGATTTGTTCTGCCTACTTGGTATAATGCAAATTAAATCAAATAACAGTAAATGGTTTGTAGACAAATCAATAATGAAAAACATGAAAAGAAAAAGTTAATAAAGACTATCATAACTTGGTGCAATAAATTCCACTCAATTTAGGCTAATGATTCTAACTTGAATATAATCAAACAGTCTTCACTGACAATTTGTGTGCATTAACCATTTCAGTGGTTTACCCTCAAAATAGGTTCCTGGGTTTGATGCCATTTGTTTCTTACCTGATTGAAACAAACTTATTCAGAAACTGCATTACTGCGTTTCATAATAGTTTGCCATCTAAAAAATAATAATTAACCTATGAACTTTTACACTTTTGTTTAATGGTGATATTGAGATAACCCCTCCCTCGTCCTGAGCCACAAGCAGTATGAACTTTAATTAGTGATCTGGTAAAGGTGAGAGCCCACCATTTCTTGTTATTATAGATGTTACCCATATGCCATGACATGATTTATTGGTCCACATATGATCAAAGGTTTCTTACAAGCTGTACATCTGCTTGTTGCTATAGTGAACCAGACAATAGTTAAATTTAATGTAATTAAAACTAATTAAAATGAGAAAAGGTTTGTGTGGAGTGTCATTTGGGGTGATTTTATGTCCTGCTGATATAAACGTTCACCTTAAAATCAAAAGACTATAAATACGTTTATGATATACTTATTAATATGTGTCTGATATTGTGGTGTCTCTTAGTTGTTCAGAGTGGAATATAATGACCTTAAAAACATAAACAAATACCAGTCCATAATCCGTAATAATGCTTCTTCCAGTGAAAAGTCCATCCCCTGTTTTAGCCGAAACCAAGGGTTTGAAGTTTAAAAGGTGTTGATGGATTTGTTTCTCACAAACATACAGCTTTTCATTTCACAAGATGTTAATTGATGGACCAGAGATGTGTGGATTACTGTGTTGCTTTTTTGAACTCTCATTCTGACGGCACCCATTCACTGCAGAGGATGCACTGGAGAGCAAGTGATGTAATGCTAAATTTCTTCAAATCTGTTCCGATGAAGAAACAAAGTCATCTACATCTTGGATGACCTGAAACATTTCAGCAAATTCATTTTTGGGTGAACTGTTCCTTTAATTCAAATTATATTCATATAATTTCCATTATACATCATATTTCAGATTTTTTCCCCGTGCACATGTATCATGAAGATGCCTCAAAAGGATGCAGAATAATTAACTAGCGTCATTGCTTTGTTTCAAATACCTGCTGCTGTTTTTCTTTAGTCACGAAATAAAGGTGCAAGACATTGTGACAACTTAAACACACCCTCTAAACACTGTAAGCTCAAGGACTGGTTGAGATTTGTTGAGATATATAATTTTCCAGCCTATGTTCAGGATGCATGCTGATTCTGAGATGCACCTAGCAATTAATAAATAATGGTTTTGCTCTTGCACAAGGGGGTCTGATTTTATGCAACACATCAGCTGTGCCGTTTCTTCTCCGTTGTACCAGACCAATTATTGCTGTCAATCTGAGGCATGCTGAGTTCATAAAGCCTTTGCTCTAAGAATAACCGCATCCCTCGACCTGTCCTCCCCCCTGCTGCAGTTCTCAGCTAGGATGGCTGCCGACTCCACCATGAGATCTGAAGTGGAGGAGCTGCAGAGGAGGACCAATCAGGTGACAGATGAGGTAATGCCGCTAACAGTCACCAAAGTAGCAAAGTTCAACATTGTTTTGCATTGATTTGCGTGGGTCTTCAGCTGATGGTGTGTTTTTCTGTCCTGTTTTGATGAGACTGCTCATCAACAGGCCTACAGTGATGACATCAAACATTTTCCATTCTCAGTTTTTCCCATGGTACATAGCAACCAGGTTGATGATGCTAAACACATTATATATGCACCTGCAGTATTATTATGATTTCCACTGTGACGAAGTCGGGTAAATCGTAAATGAAGCCATTATTCATCGCCAGATTTTCCACTGGGCGTTATGTAATGGATAATGTACAGTCCATCGGTCTTTATCGCAAAATAAACCCCAGCAGGGTGATCTGGACCCTGACGCAGAGCGCTTATTACACAGCTACTCACCGAGTAAAGAAATATTTGCACATGAAAGAATGGTTTGAAATTGTTTTGTAATTCTACCTCTGGGGCTACATTGTTGTTTTCTGCTAATTAAAAAAAATCCAATACAGTAAATGGCCTAGAAACAATATTACAGTGATATTAAAATACTGAGGTCCTATGTGGTAATTTTAATTTCAATCAATAACTATGTTTTATACTGAGTTATAAATGTGTTCTTTTTAGTCACTGTTGTGTTTTGAATTTTTACCTCTGACAGTCCCTTGAGATCACTAGAAACATGAGGCTTCTGCTGGAGGAGGTGAGTGATCATTATTCATAACAGCATGTATAATATATTTCATAATTGCAATTACCTCATCCTGTGTTGTTGAACAGTTGTTAGTGATGATGACAAATCAGTGTGTATCTCATGGGAAAGATTCAGCCTGAGACCACAACAAAAACCAGGGATCTAAGAAATAAACCAAAAAATGTTATTCTAGTTAACTAAAACTAGAACCATAAAACAACAATTTTTGTTACTTAAAATAAAATAATATATATATATATATAAATATAAACAAACTTATTTTAGCTAGTTACCAAGGCAGCATTTCTTGTTCTTATTCACAAAAATAACTAAAACTGAAATATGAATTATTATTTGTTTTTAGGAAAAAAATGCTAAATTCACTAGTGGTCTCAAAGTTTTATACCCCACTGTTCAAACAATCAAAAAAATATGTAATTCTTCAATAAAACATAATGTAAAATAAATGTGATCATGTGATTATTATTTATTGTTGAGCACCCTTCTCTTAAATTGGCCTCTGGGCACAAACTTTCATTCCTTTTTTTTCATACATTCATCTGCAACAAAATTGCCTACTTTAATGTGCACTCATACTGAATTATTTTCAATTCTTCAACAGAGTAAAGATGCAGGGATCAGGACACTTGTTATGCTGGACGAGCAGGGAGGTAATGAATTATCTTCATACACTCTGTATAAATAGAGATAAAACGTACAGCAGCTAAACAATCAACTAATTACTTGCAAATGCATCATTGTTCATTTATCTTGTTGCATCTGTAGGACAGGTAGCTATTATCTTTATGCTAATGATACAGAATATGCACAAGATGTAGGAGTACAGACCGCGCATTCTTCATCTTTTGTTATTTATTCATCCTTTCAGTACGACATATATAAATACAGCCATATATGATTCCGTACATATGGAAATATGTACCCTCTGTGTGTTTTTGTGTGCATGTTTGCATATTTCCCCTTTCAATTCCCCTTCCCCCTGCCTCCCATGCCCTTCCCTATCTCCCTCGCATGGGCAGAACAACTGGACCGCATAGAAGAGGGCCTGGATCACATCAACAAGGACATGAAGGAGGCTGAGAAAAATCTCACTGACATGGCCAGGTGTTGCGGTCTGTGCATCTGGCCATGTATAAAGTAGGTCTCCTCCCAGACACCTGAGCCATGGCTGCTTGGTGGTCAATGATGTCACCTCTCTGCCCATGCCTCTGTCCCACTGATAACCTGTCCTGCTGTGATGTTGCTACATGTTAGTCTTTTTTGGCTGTTTTGTGAGCAGAGGTTCATGCAGGACTCCATGTAAACATTTGAAATGAAGATAAATGTTATGCAACTTGTGCTCACATAACAAATGCAGTGTTTGTAGATATTAATAAAATTTTTTAGTTCATATCTGTCCATTTCGCTTGTCACTTGGAGCTAGAGCTACCATTGATGTTTAGTCGCTTATGGGCGTGTGGCGCTTCTTGCTGAGAAAACTGTTGTTGTGTTCGTTTGTTTTTATCTCGTCTCCAT